AATAAAGACCCACCTAAGGTAACCAATTGCAGAACGCTGCTTAGGTCCAATCAGACCTGCTGTACATAGTTACATTGTGTATCGTTCACTGTTGAAATCGTATAAGTTTGAGTGCCGCTCTTAGCAGAGCTGTCGAGTCCAGTCCGAAGCTGAGCAATGGTTTTAATAAACCTTCTTTCATTTGACCATCGTCTCGTGCCTCTTCAATACACAAAACTGGTGATGGCTAGATTTGCCTGGGAATGTGGCAGTGCAAGTGATAGATTATTATCTGACTTCCAGGTAGCATTTTAAAGACAAATTCGTGTAATTCCTCTTCACCCCATGTTTAACTGAAACTGAACAATGATCCCCCCCCTCTTTTTAGGAATCAGAATCTGTTTTGAAACAATTCCATTTAGTGAAAAGAGAAATTCAGACAGAGGAGGGACAAGCAAGAAGGCACCTTCCTCTATCCCTTGCTAGAGCTACCACCCTATCGCATGTAAAAACAAAAAAAGACCTGCAAATAGTGAAGTTCCAAAAGGGTGCATAGAGGTGTAACAGAAAGCTACAAAGTGAAGTGAAATAAATTTTTCATCTAAAAGAGAATAAGGGAATAAGAGGCATTAATGGCTATATCTAAGAAAGTGAATTTTGAAAAAAGAAATTGCACTCCCCGTAACAATTCTACTCCCAGGTATGCTAGGGATTTTTTGGTGCTCAGCTGCCTATGCTGGTGCAGAAGAGGCTCTCATCCGCCCTGCAGAGAGGACCTTTGTGGATTGTTGTTATAGTGAGAAATTTCCCCTCAGCTGTTTCCCATTGATAACTGGTTTGAGAATGCAGGTTGCTGAGGGAGCACAATTGTTATTGGTAGAAATTTGATTGTCCAGTGGCGTTGCCTTTTTGCATTCTATCTCTTTACCAGTTATGAGATAGTCAGTACAGACAGCGTTTCTGTGGCACTTTGAAGAAGAAGAATATTCTGTTATAAATTTTCTTGGAATAGAGCCCATTTCATCAGATGCAAATGACATCTAATCCATGAAAATTTATTATAAAATACAAAATCTGCTCACCTTTGGAGGTAGTACAGCACTCCTTTTGTATTTGCTAGACTTCTAGAACTGCTTAGAGGACAGAAATTCAGTAGCAAATGCTGCATTTATTGAGTTCTGACTGCCTTTAAAGGCACTGAGCTGCTGTTGGAAGAAGCTGTAGTACCTCTGCAGATTCATGGGATTTGTGATTTAAGGAGCATATACTGTGGAATGCTTTGGTTTGGCCTGGAGTTATCAGGTTTACTTTAGCTTTTAAAAATATTTTAAATATGTTACGATTGCCTAATAGTGTGTTTTCATTTCTATCAAAAGAAAATCCATCTTTTCTGAAGGTCCTAGGTGTCATTTTTATGAAGCTGATGGAAACCTGCCTTTCTGGTTTATAGTGTTGTTGCTGATCTATAAAGCATGACTTTATGACTCATTTTGAACAATTCTTTGTTCTCTCTTGAAAGCATTACTGATGGTATTTCAAATAAACTTGTTCCTTCTCTAAGAATGCAAGCCTCCAGCAAGTTTGATCTTAGTATGAAGCAGGCTGTGTAGCTCTAGAAATATCCCAAGTATTGATTGCTCTCTTTCTGACTCACTTTGATGGCATTTTGTACTTGGGCGGTTTATAATATTTTTGTTGCAGAAAGTAATTTTCCAGCGAATTATGAAGTGACTCTTCTGGCTGGTAGTTTCCCTCTAAAAAAAGCTGGTGTGTATAGAGGCATATATTATGCATGTGAAGGTTTACTGTGACTACCAGAGGTGCTCTGTCTCATAGAGTCATGTGCATTAATAATGCAAAATATGATAGTTTATCAGAAGGTGAAAAAACAGTTTGTTGAGGCTTGTACTTTAGTAGGCAACAACCTACTACATCAAATGCATTTGATAGAGCTGGTATAGAAATTATGTCAGTGTTGTAAAATATGCTGGGATGGGGCCTGTGAGAAATTTAAAGTATTATATTGTGACTCCTCATTTAGTCAACTGTATTGGGTTACATTTTGATTTGCCCCTGAAAATTACCATTATTTTCTTTAAAAGTCAATGTGATTTTAACACTCAGTGCTCAGTGATGAATTCAAAGAGATGAGGCATGAGAATGCTTACTTATCAGAACTATTTGCAGAGTTCCATGAAACGAATTTGCAGTTGCAAGAAAACGAGGTCAGTCTTATTAAGGCCAAATCTGTCATCTCTAAATTTATTTCAGTGTTAACTCTATTCAAACACAACATAGGCAGTTGCAAGCTATACCAATTTCCGAGTCTGTTTGAGCTGAAAGAGAAAAATGGGATACAAGATGATGATCTGTTTTTGTGAACATTTGGGTATACTGTATGTCTGAGCGATCTGAGGATCTTCTTTTGATGGAAGTTCTAGGTTGAACAATAAATCCATTTTCAGATACTGAGGAAGTTGGGGTAGTGGAAGAAAAACTAACGGAACTACAAAATGACATTGAGCTGAAGCCATAGTTTAAGAAATTGTACCATGAGTTTGGAAGGAAATTTTTGATCTCTGTCCTGCAAGATGGACAATGGTTAAGAAGTTCCTTGTGGCATTACCAACATGATATTTGGTGGAATGTAGTTTTAGTGTGGTCATCCAATTTCTCTCCAAGCAAAGAAATCAACTCCAGATTACTAAATGTGGTGATTATGACTTCTGCTAAGTGACTTAAACTAGACAATGGGTAACTGGTATCACTTTATCAAACCCATCCATTGCATCAAGAATTTACTGTACAGTGAAGTAGTTAGTATCTAAGATTCTTGCTGAACAACTGAAAAGCTGGTATCACTTGATCATGTTAATTAATTTTGTTGAATAAATTAAACTAAAAAGTTTTAATTGGATATTTGAGTAAACGTGCAATTAATTGTTATTGTTCTGAATTTTATTGTTATTATCTTCCTTAGTGGGTTGTGCAAAGAGCTAATCTGAATAATGTTTTTTAAAGGGTAGGATAGAGGGCACTTTGGATGAGTTTATGGAACCAAGGTGGCAGTGGCCTGAAAAAGTCTGGGAACCACTACTCTACTAGGATTATGACTTTTTTGGGAGAAAGAGAAGAAGAGCAGTGGGTTGGCTGGTCTGCGAGGGAAGGATGGGGAAAGCAGAATGGGATTGTACTAGAAGACTACAGAAATAGGTTTAGAAAGATAGTTGAAAGAGAAAAGGGTAAGCAGTATGGGGGGCGTTATGGGCAATATGGAAATAAATAACAGTAGTGTTAGGGACCCATTGGGAGGAATAAAAGGCAACAATTGGGGCTCTAGCTTTTGGTATGTAATCCTTGGCTGCGGTCACACGGAGCATTAGGCATGCTAGAGAGATGGAAGATAGGCGGATTTTCCGGGCGCGATCTCACCGCCACATCTGGGAAGCGTAGAGCTCCCGTGGCTCACCCGAGGCTTCACTCCGAAGATGCGCGGTAAAAAACTAGTACCTTGGAGGTACTAGTTTCCGGAAACCGCAGGGCAAGGGCGGGCGCGTGATCGCGTTTCCGGTGGAATCCCATGGCATCCGGTGTTCGCCCATGTCCCCTCGCAAAAAGGGTTTTTTTCCCCAAGTGTCCTCAGGATGCGCACAAGCACCCAACGGGACATGCGCACACATCGGTGTACAGAAAAAAACCCACTCGTTTGCCGCGGCGTGCCGCTTCTTTGCCGCGCTGCAGGATTGTGGTGTGATTGGCACCTCCCCCCTACCACGGGACCTCCACGGGATGTCTGCTCGCACAACCACACGTTATTTTGCCCCGGGGCAAACAGCCACGCTCCCCCCCACACACATTTTCCTGCCCGTGTGACCGCAGCCATTATTATGCTTAGATCCTTGATCGTTTCAATACCTTTGGGTTACCTTTCTTTTGTGTGTGTGTGTTTTGTCAGTATAGTGTAGTGGTTTAAGCATCAGGCTAGGATCTGGGAGAGTAAAGTTCAGATCCCCACTTTGCCATGGAAGCTGGCTGGATGACCCTGGGCCAGTCATTCTCTCTCAGTCTAACAAACTTCACAGTGTTGTTGTGAGGTTAGAATGAAAGAAAGGAGAATGATGTAAGTCACTTTGAGTCTTCATTGGGGAGTAAGGTCAGTATAAATAAAGTAGATAAATAAAATAAATTGAGAACCATCCCCTTTTGCCCATTTTTGATGCAATTGTTTCCTGATTTTTGTTTTACAGCATTTTGATACCATTTGCAATATTTTAATGCCACTTTCACATTTTTTTTGCGCTTTTGACCCATGTACCATTCAAATCGCTTAAATTTAACAGGAAAATCTGACATGAGACAATGTAACAAAGTCGTTTGGGTTTGATTAACCCAAGTGTGGAGGCGAGAATAAATGGGAATTGTTGAAGTAAAATGGTAAAGCAGCAAAATTCGGTGCTATCTATACTATTATGTTGATTCCAAAATATAAAAATAAAAAGGAGTTAGAAAAAACACTAAGGACACATTGACACCCTTTTTACAAACTTTAGCATCAGGAGTATTGGCCGACAGTTCACGTCATAGTGTGTGACTTTACACTGGCATAGCAGCTGATTTGACCCATCTTAAGTATTTATTTTTTAGTACAGCAGAACATGGAGTTGGGCCAATCCCCCCCCCCAGGCCTGAGAGAGAATGCTTTAAAGAGATTTATGCAAATAGAGGGCAAGATATCAGAACTGACAGAGCAGATCACAGAATGGCATTTTGACAGCATAAATATGCAGAGCTCATGGGATCAGCAATTAGTAACATGTAAACATATTTATTTGATGACTTCAGAGCATATGAGAATAATTTCTTGTCATCGAGATTTTAGTTGCAGACCAGTGTGTCTGTTTCTAACTAATAAAGCAACCTCCTGTGCTACACAAAGCCAGCTGAATGCATGACTGCTATTGTGGAGCTTACAAAGAACTAAAACACTTGTATGAAAAGGCTCTGTACATTCTTTCCCACAGAAGTCAACGAAAGGGTCGGTTGTCCTAGGCTACGTATTCCGGCATTTAAACCTTGTGGAGATAGATTACTTTGGACTCCGTTACTGTGACAGAAGTCACCAGACGGTGAGTAAAACCACAATGGATTAGATTTTCCTTTGGTAAATGTTACCCTGTTGGCGACCCTTTTTCAAGTCATGTCGTAAGCTGTCATTGTTTGTTAGCAACCTTTCATGCTTATGTGCAAAAAAAGGAAAAAGGGAAAAATATTGGACAAATTTGTCAGTTTACAGGTATGTGTGAAACTATCGCCCACGGTATATCAATTACTGCAGAAAATGGAATGATAAAAGTAGAAGACAATTCAATGAGAACATAATACATACAATAAACAGTTGAGTAGACTACAGCCCTATTATAAAAGTGCCCTTCTGAACCCAAGCCAGTGTGACATGGGAGTCAGAGCGCTGAACTGGGACCTGGGAGAGCCAGGTTCAAATACCCACTTGCCCAAGAAATGCCCTGGGCCACGCACTGGGCCAGTCACTCTTTCTCAGCACTCGTAAAGGTGCTGTGAGGACAAAGTGGGTGAGGGAAGGAAGAGAACTAGGGTTGCCAAATTCAAAATACTTACCAGTGGGGGAGCGTCCAGTCGCTCCGGGAGCCGGTCGGGGATGCGCGCGCACGCGCCGCCAGAGCATCACCGGAAGTGACATCGCACGCTGGGGCGGGGCCACACCATTTGAGGGGAAAACAAAGAGTTTCCCCTCAAATGGCCCCGCCCCCAGCGTGCGACGTCACTTCCGGTGATGCGGACGCCGGGGCAGGGTTCCCCCCGGGCCCCGATTCCCCGGCGTCGGGGAACGGGGCCTCCGGGGCGGGAGATTTCCGCCCTACCGGGGGAGTTGGCAGCCCTAAAGAGAACCCTATATGCCACCCTGAGTTTCTTGGAGGAAGGACGGGATAAAAATGTACTAAATAAATATATTTGTCATTTCTGAATACATCAGACTTGCATTATCCCCTGTGATGACTTTGATGCCAAACCTCTGGAATGATTAATACATGAGGCCCTGTTGGAGGCATAATTGTGTTTTCCAGGTGAAATTTATTCCTGGGTTGGTGTCAAAGGTTCATGGACTGAACTGAACTGAGAAGTCATATGTGTAGATGTATATATGTGTAAAATACTACTGAAACAGTAGGTAGAAGGTTACAAGACACTGTTTCTCCTGTGAATCCCTGAGGCCTGATTCACTGACTCAAGATGAAGTGTTGACAACATGTACTTTGGTGATGAAAGTGAGACATGGAGATTATGCTGCTTACCTGTAGTCTCTCTGTCTCTCTCATGCTCACTCTTGTCTGTCTGTTAAGTTACTAAAATGGAAATTCAGCCTAGACCTTACAAGTTCCAATATATCGTCTCAATATACCCTTGTTAATTAATGCTTTATTATTTGAAGAAGTGATCGTTCTGAAAATGAAGCGATTCTCAACATTGCTAAGTGCAAGCAACACTTCTGCACAATCAACATATAGTGCCCTTTCCTTTTTAGAGCATCTTGGTCTGATTCTCACTTCCAACAAAGTTGGAGCAGGTTTAGAAACTGTTCAGAAGACATGAGAACTCATACATTGACCCCCAATCCAGTCAAATTGTTTTGGGTACACTCCCTGATGTTACAAAGCCCCACCTAGGAGTCAGGACCAGCCATAAATAGCCCCAGGCAGATCACTGGCAATCATTCATCAGGGAATGGGGTGAGGGAGTAATTGAATCCATCACTGTCTGTTGTGTACTGAACTGAGCCTAATCTCATCAGCCCCAGCTTGGGGACACAGAACAATGGACTGCTAGGATCCTGGGATAGACCTATCACCCAGGAGTGCCTCTGTAAATAGCCTATTGTTGGGAGTGGGTGTGTGATGGGTGTGCTGTTTTTCGGGCTTATAAGAAGGGCTCCGGCCCTGCTAGAGTTGTCTTGAGTTGAGCTAATCACTAAATAAAATATGATCTGATCACTTCACAGGTCTCAAACCCAGTATATTTCACTGTCACTAGTAGATCAACTTAAGTTAGCTCTGAGGTTCTTGTGGGCAGTCTGTGTATTGGTGATATTTCAGGACTGTGGTATCTAGTGCCTTAGGTTGCTGGAAGGTATGGCTTCCTGTGACAGTAGGAGTTTGGTGCAACGCCAGCACCAGATTTTTGTGAAGAGTATCTGTAGTCTGACATAAGAGAATCATAGTGGACACTGTATGCATTGTTCGTACTTTTTATACATCCAATAAGTAAAAACGCTTCCATTTGTTGGTCAATGAAAGTCTTGCCATCTCTAGCAGAAACCAAATAAGGCTATTTTTCTGGCTAATTCAGACTTTTTAAGTGGCTTTCATCCACTGTGTGGTGCTCCTAGCCAGGGAGGTTGGCATTTGAGCATCTCACAATATCACACCATACTTCTGGTACAATGATAAAGAGAATGGTTAAATTGACCCTGTGTTTCAGGAGTGTTAAGTCACTTTAACTAAAACTTGTTAAAATATTTATTGACTGTGTTTATATGGTGCTCTTAAATTCAAGTGTTCTTATAGTATTTTATGTAAAAAGTTACATCAAAACCTTTTTAAAAAATCCAAATATAGAAAAGCAAATAAAAACACTCTTCATGAATGAAGCTTGATTCAAGCATGATGAAAGGGTATCTTCCTGTCTCTCCTCCCTCGGCTAATCTCAGCAATGGCATTTGGAAACTGGAAGGATTATTATGTATCATTATACCAATTAAGTATTATACGTTATAATGTGTTACATAGTCTAATAAATGGACAGAAGCGTTTATAAAGGAGTTAGCTGTTCCATTCTCCATTCGTTATGTCAGGGTTTCAACAGAGTGCCTGAGCAAGCGCTATTAAAGGGAGTACAGAATGCCCAGCAGCAGTGCTTGGTGGACGTAATTGAATGCCTTTAATGGCACACATGAACTGGGGCTGGCATATTACACATGCATAAGTGAGTTGAAGCTGGGAGGGTTTATGTGTTTGAACTAGTTGTGTGTGTCTGTTTGGTATATATATGCTTGAAACCATAAAGCGATGCAATGAATCTGCAAAGAGCAGTCAAGAATCCAGTCTTCTGTATTCTTCCATAGTAGATAAGCAGACGGGAGCAGCTAAACAAGCAGTGACTCTCCCAAAGTGATCACGGAGAGGAAAAGGAGGATTATATCAGGTTCTGAGTGTTGTGGTATGATAGGTATTTTGATGATTGGCGTAACAGTGAATGGAAAGTTTTGAACCTAGTTAATGATTTCTTACATACGAGTCCAGAGTGTTTTGCCCTGAATTTGACCCAGTTCATCATCTCAAGTGTGGTTCTTTTAACAAAGTAGAGGGGTTTGTCTTTAAGAATATTAATGATAAAAGTGTATAAGTGGAATGTACAGTTTTTTTCTGTGTAGCTTTACCACAGAACAGTTTAAAGTGCATAGATTTTGGCTACATTTAAAGAAAATACACCATACTTTTTGTTAAGTATGCAACTCAACAACGAAGTAAGTAACAAGTGAATCAGCTTTATTGAGAACGAGAACTTCCAAAGATCACACAGCATCAGACGACACACGACAAAACACAGTGGAGCATAGCTCCTTTTAAACTCTCCCGGGCTGGTGTAGCCACGCCCTCACATAGTTAACATCCAATCATGTTACATAGATAACAACCAATCATTTGTCTTCCCTCCAGCACAGACTCTTACATTTCATTGGTTACATAACATGCTTCAGCCAATGGTGTTGTTCCAGATTACAATCCGGCTGAGGTTTCAAGTTTAACATTACATGTTAATGGTAAAGACACAACAATTCCCCACTCCTCCACTTGTAGCTGCTGGGGGACCTCGGGCAAGCCAACATTCGCTCAGAGCTGTTATCTCAAGAGCAGTTCTCACAGGGTGTCTGTTGTGGGGGGAAGAAGGGAAGGAAATTGTAAGCTGCCCTGAGACTCCAAATGAAGGGTGGAGTATAAATCCAACCTTCTCCTCCTCCTCTTCTTTATCTTCTTCTTCAAAGCAAGAAATTGCAAGTAGATAAATAGGTACCACTTCAGTGGGAAGGTAACAGCATTCCGTGCACCTTGGTGTTTAGTCATGCCGGCCACATGACCACGGAAATGTCTTCAGACAGCGCTGGCTCTTCGGCTTTGAAACAGAGATGAGCACCGCAACCCTAGAGTCGGATTCGACAGGCTTTCGAGCAAGGGAACCTTTACCTTTACCTTTACTCACACTTTAGATGTGACTGGGTTTAACATGGTATTTCATAGTCTGGGCCTCAGTGAGATGGTGGTTGAGCTGTCCACACTGAGAATGTGGACATCTCTTGTAGGGCCTGTTTTGTTAAGATCTTGAGCGCAGATACAAAGTTGGGACTACTAGCTTTCTTAAGAATCTGCCAGGATAACAGCGTGACCAAGAAAGACTGGCTGGCTTTATGGGAACATTGCACCTTCAACAGGGTAAGATTTAACTAATTGCCTGTCTAGTTTTCTGGCTGCTTCCTTCTGGAAGATAAGTCTGACAGATTTGGTTAGGTAGACCTACATATGTTTCTGTCCATGCTTCTGCCAGTTTTCTGGGGCATTTTTGGTTTCATACTTGATGTGACATTCCAATATTATTAGTGCAGAGTATTTTGTTTATTTGTATATCTATGAAAACATTTATACCCCTCCTTTCCTTGTGCTTTCTTTCCCTGATAATATGCTGTCTTTTACTCTCTCTCCTGCTGCAGGCAGAAATCCGCTTTAGGACTATGACCCTGAAGCACCAAACTTGTATTTACTTATAAATCTTGGGTGGCAAGACTTTTTGAATCTGAAATAATGGCAAATCCTGTATTTTCTTAAGTACAGGTATTGTGATCATGAGGGTTATTTCATGTTGTGACTGAGCCCTGTTGAATTGCACTTTAGAACACTGATATTAAAAAGGCCTGAAATAAACTGCCCCAGCATATACAGGAGAGAAATCCAACATCTGCAGATTGTGCAGTCAGCTTTCACTATAGTATTGGCTTTATTCTGTCTCTGACTTCTCTTTCCTAGTGTACTTTTAATATTTACTTCTCTTGGGCTTCCTCTGTGGTGTTTGGCTTTGCCTCCCATGGTGGCTATTTTGTGATTATGCTCAATACCCTGTGTCAAAATTCCAAAGGTTCCCACAGACTCAAAAAAGTTGAGGACTCCTGGGCTAGAGTATCAGACTAGGATCTTGGCTATGGAAGCATGCTGGGTGACCTTGAGACACTTACACACTCGCAGCCTAATCTAACAAACAGGGTTGTTGCAAGGATAAAATGGAGGAGAGGAGATCAATTTAACCCACTTTGTGGTCCCCATTAGGCAGAAATAAAATAAATATATGCTTGGGAACCTGCATCTTGATACATTGTTGTGGGGTGTAGGTAGTTGGTGTAAATCTATTTTAAATGGCCGCCAGGTGGAGAGATCTGCCTGGAGATGATATCCCCTTCTTCAGGAACATCTTTTAGACAGTGGCTAGGATTTGTTTTTTTTTCTTACATTTTGTGGATTTATTAACAGTGTTGCTCTATTTGCCAAATAACTATTAAAATGAGCAATAATAATTCTTTGTAATTATTGTCAAAATAATCCAAACTGTCATGCACAAGTTGACAGAACCTTTGGGCTTTTGCAAAAAAAGAAAGAAAGAAAGAAAGAAAGAAATAATAATGAGGATACAGGGTTAAGTCCGTATTTTTGTCTTTGTAGACTTTGCAGGTGTCATTTCCATACAAAGCATGTTTACTTTTTGATTCTTTGTTATCTTAAGAACAAGAAAGAAATAGGTTATTGTGTATGTTTCCTATTCAGAAACACAGCGTTTGCCTCTTCTTCAAACTATTCTGCTTTTATGCTTGATTTCCATTGCCATGCCAGTCGGAAATGGTGACTCATCATCTCTCACAGAAAAAAAACCTAGAAAAACAAAAACAAAATTAACAACAGAACAGCAGAATAGAGTATTAAGTGGACAAACATAAGACTTGTAGCACCGTGACCAGTAATGCCCCAGCTGTTGAATGTCTGGGGCAGTATAGCCCATAGCAGCTGTCGTGGAGGCTGCCCCAATCCGAAAGGAGTGGGTTCCAAACCGAAACTGACCCAGCCCCAGTGTGTCCAATGCCCTCCTGGTAGCTGCCCAAAATTGGAACTTTGTCAGTGGGCTAGTATCACTGTGCCAGAACAGCATGCTCCCATCCAAGCCCCTTACCACCAAGTATTCCTGGAGCACTGCTACCTGGCAAAGATTGACTGATGAACATGATCCTACCTTAATCTTCACCCCTTTTTGACATTCGACCACCTGACCCTGATGTGGACACTGCTCTCCACAAAGTGAACATCCTGCAGCTGTAGCACCCTACCTGACCTGTCACTATGTGAACCCACTACTAACTTGCTCACTTGCAGTGCCCACCAAAGGACCACCAGTGCTGCAGCATGAAAAAGACCTCATAGCCACTATTACAAACTGCCCCCAGGCCCCCCAATGGGGTCTCTCCTATCTGCCTATGATCCCACCTCATGCGACCTGCCCTCCAGAATCTTCCAAATGCAGAAGTCCCCTGTGGCTTTGCTAAAACTAAGGCTGCTAATTTACCCCTGATGGGCTGAACTGCAATCCCCTTACCCCTAAGGTCAATGCAGTACTGCATCAAATGCATTACCACTATCAGCCAAACCTGCTGAGGCCCTACCTGCTACCTAAAGCAGAGGTGTTGAACTCGTTGGTCATGAGACCCGGAGCAGACATAAATGTCATTTTGTTGGGTCGATCCATGTGTGCCATAAATGTAACATGAGGTACCGGAGATATCTCTCTATATAATAATTCTGTTTTGGTGTGAATGCTCCACATGCTCCCACAGCCTTTGGTCCACTCGGCTGCCACTCTCATGGACTCCAATCCCCTGGCTGCATTGCCTCACTGTGTTGGCTCGGCCCTGCCCACAGAGCCAGCAGCCAGTGTCTCGCCCTCAGTCTGGAGGGAGCCGGCAAAGGGGATGAACGCTCCGCCAAGGGAGCAGCAACCACTCCACATGGGAGAAGGAGGCAGACCTAGCGAGTGACAGCAAGCAGGGGAAGCACTCACCTTCGCTGCCCCTTGCAACCCCTCTCCCTTGGTCACAAGGCTGGCGCTTTGTCAGGGCAATAGCTCAGCAGGATGTACCACAGAGATGTCTGCCCAGCGCCTTTCAAAGGCTCCCCCGCCTTCCTTCAGCAGCAGCAGCAGGGAAGGTCTGGCCTAGAAGAAACGAGCTGCGGCTCCTGGAAAGCCGGACTCTCTCCTGAGGAAGGCACTTCTCTTGGCTCCTGTGTGGAACTAACTGTGACTAACTGTCCCCTCAGTGGCTGTTGGTAGGCAACCAACTTCTGTCAGTAAAAAAAGAAAGGACTTTCAGCATAACCCCTTCCCCACCC